CCGCTGTTCCAAAGCCAGAGATGAGAGAGGAAATTGATTCACCAGCAACTGATCAATCCCGAAATCGCGGTGCTGTCCGTCTCCTTTCACTCTGCCATGGTTGAGGCAATCTTGAAAAAGGCGTGGACTCGAAATAGAAACTGGCAGTCTTGCACGCTGCTTTGGTCTTGGCAAGTGCCGCTTGTCCTCAAGTCTTGGAGTGTGAGTATTTGGCTAGGTGGCAACATGGGGTTCGGACACCAGAATGCTGATTGTCCTATTTTCTCTTTAACCGAACCCCAAAAAGGGTACCCGCAAATCCACACCTATTCAGTGCGATGCCTGCGCATCACAACGAATTCTGGTAGCTTTTGGATACCCACTCCTTGGCAGTGAGGGTCATATTTAGGCGATTAAACATCGGGGAAGGAGGGATGGAGACTTGGGAGTTGCACCTGCAAACAGTGACACCATATTTTCTCGCTCCCTGAGTTCCTGAACTTTTAACTTTTTGGGAAGACCGTTTTTGTGGTAAACAACATTTGTTTTTTGGTTTGTTTGGCCAATCTACTCAGGAAGTGAGTTTTTGCCGGACCGAAACCATGCCGGCAAAAGTCCAATGTGGTGCAAGCTCCCACATGATAACTCGGCAGGTGTGAGGCTTCAGCAACAGTTGCGCTGCGACATGTTTCGCAGCAATTTGCGGGCAAGTCAGCAGCAGCGGGATTCCCTTTCCCACGTATGTCACGCGTGCCTGTGGTCTTCGAAAATGAACGTTCTTGTTTGTTTTGCAAGTCAACATAACTAAAGCGACAGGCTGACAACACCCACCCGCGGCGGCGCCTTCGTCCAGGCAAGAATTGCCAGATTTGCTGTAACTCGCATGTGAGTGGAGGTACGTCAGCTTCTACAGACGCAGTCTCTCTGGCAAAACACAACCATCAGTTGCCCATCAGCTTCTTGAAGAAGTTCTTAGGGAACAACCCTCCCATCAGCGGCGCGACTTTTATGTTGCGCCTTTTGTGCTCGCGCGCTTGCAAGGCCCCAGCGCGTTGCCTGCAACCAACTAGGCCTCGCCGCCCTCAGGGCGTGCAACTTGGTCGGCGAACAAAGCGTTTTTGTGAAAGCAGAGCTCTCAGTCCAGAATGAAGATCGAAACGCGCCTGGCGTGGTCGGAGCGCACGTGGACGCGTGCCAAAGAAGAGGGCCCCCCAAAGTGCCGGTTTTTCTTTTGGCTTCTCTTAAAATTTCCGGAAAAGGGTGCCCCCAAAGAAGCGCAATCCCATGTGAAGGCATGCCATCTAAGTTTGGCTTGCAGCTGAGTCCGAGGCCTTCTGACAGATTTGCGTGTCAAGATCATGACTCAGTCAATTGCTGAACCTATGAACCCGTATTTGGTATGAGCCTCCTGCGTGCTAAGCAGTCAGCTGTGGTTTAGAGTTTGAGCAATAATGAGGGTCAGACAGGTATGCCAAAAACCTTTGCCAGCCGCAAGCCCCCCTGCTTCACGTTGCTGTTTGAAGGTGTGGCCTCTCATCGAAATCTTTGTTGCTTAACTTGCATGGAACGCAGCTGCATTCTCGTTTTGCAGCCGCACTTGCCCGTGATCCTGAGAGCTTGTGGAATCAGACCAATGCGCGCAAGTCGTTCATTAGGCTCGCCGTCTTCGTGGCTTTGAGCTTTGAGTACTTCCAGGCGCAGCCAGCGCCTTTTTTGGGTCACTGCTGTAGTAGTGGTCGTCGTTGTCCGTGTCGTTCTTGTCGTCGTCAGTGTCGTCGTTGCAGTTATTGTGAAGGTCATTCAGGGTTGTGACAAGGTAATTTTTCGGGAAGGCCATTTCCAGTCGCCCCTTGGCATGTGCTTTGACTCGAGTTTGGCCACCACGTGCTGTCATTCCTTAAGCGTCCAGAAGAGGATTATTGCCGAGATGGTGTTGGTCTAAGCAGTCATACCCTCGGATCCATTGAAAGATCCAAAGCAGGTTGGCTTAAATTTGACAAGCAATTGACCGTGGTTCAAGCACGTTCAAGAGGATGACTGGATGCCCCAATCCTGCTGATGTCCCTGCCAACAAGCCTTCAGGCAGTTGGCCTTTCACGTTGCGTCTCAGAAGGAAAATGGGGACTCGCGACACCAGGCTCAAGAGGCACTTCTCATGTCTTGCCACGATGATTTTAGCTCCCTGGCCCTGCTGCGCATCAGTTGCATCTGTTTACTTGGCACGGCCATACACATCTTCCAAGCACGGCCCGCCAACCAGCACTGCAATGGCGCTGCAAGGTTACATTTCCCCTGTTCCCCTTTCGCACTACTCTGGGCTTGTCAAAATGAGAGTTCATTTTTGGTATCCCCAGAAGAAAAACAAAACGAGAAAAAAAGGGGACAACAAACACAGAACCTTAGGCTCGCACAGCTTGGAGCAGCCCATTGTCTGTTTTTTGTACTGTATTTTTCTCTGGGGGAAGCCGTGCAAAACGTAGGCCCCATGTCCGTCAAAATGGTTGGATGAGCATGGCCAATTTGGTGGGTAGGTCATCTTCAAGCGATTTCCGAAGTAGACGCAACTCCCTTATTTTGGGTGTGTAAAGGTTTTTTCAATAGGGACACCACAGGGAAACCTGGATTGTGTTCCGTAACCGTACCCTATTTTGGGGACAACGCGGGTGGACAGTCCCAAACATAATGTCTGGCGGTTGCCCCGTCAATTCTTTACATTGGTTTTGGTAGAACCTTTCAAACCATGGTTACCAACACTCATGGAGGTGGCCGTTCTGGAGCTTCCCCCCAAAGATTTTTGAAGCCTTTAATCGTCAGCTTCCATACGGGCATGACTTAAATGTGCAGGCCCCAAATCCAATGGCCAATTCAGCAGGTGGTTCTATGATTTAGGTTTCACGGGGTGTATGGCAAGCGCTATACAAACCTGCATGACAATGTTGGCGCAACAAACTATGGTTTTTAGGGTTTATCAGGGGACAAGGCCCCCTCCCCATTTATATGATTAGAGCTGACAAAAGGAAGGCTGCCGCCGTGCCTGTTAGCATCCAGCGGGCATATTTCAAAATAGGGGAACCCATAATAAATGTTTTTGTTGTCCCTAGAACTTCCCTTTGACACTTATGTCACTTACCTAACCAACGTTCCACTCTGAGAAACAGGCACGCCCAGTTCCTGTCTTCATTTGAGAGTATATGCTTTGTTTTGTCTTTTTCAAAGGGATCCAAAGTGGCACTGCCTATTTTGGGTCTCCTCCTTCTTAATGGTGACCTCGGATTTCATAAACCTGTCCTATTAACAGGGGTGTGTTCCCTCCAAACGTGGTCTGAATCCCCACTAAAAGGGGACCCCGATCAGCCCTCAACATCAACCAGTGGTTCTGCTTACTCTGGGGCCAATATGATTCCAAGTTCCGCAGTATGCCGCCCTGTGTTTTGATATAGTTCGCTTCGTCTTTTTTTGATGTACCCCGTTTTGGCTTGGTTTTAAAGAAGACCAACACGAAAGCCATCATTTTTGTTTGGGGGGATCCCTATTTGCTCCCTTGACAGTTATGGGTCAGCGAACCTCCAGAAAGGTGGATCCACAGTTTACGATCGGCTTCGGCGTGCTCATGCTCTTGCTGCTCCTGGGCATTGTCGTGTCCTGGGTGCCAAACCACCCTGCCTTGGGCCTTCGCGTCCGGCGGTTTTGAGTGTATTTTTTGAGGGACTTTTTGGGCTTCCCAACACTTTTTGGGTGCGGCAGGGATCCATTGGACTATCCCAAGGTAGGCTCAAACCCAGCTTCCCTGGTGCTAAGTCTACCTTGTGCTAGCAGCATGCTATTGGCTCGAGGTTCAAGTATTATGTCGTGCGCTCAATTGATTGGCCACCGGTGTTGTTGCCATGGGGCTTGGTTCCTACTTAGTTTTACGGGCACAGTCTCTCAGTTTACCTCCGTTGTGCCAGGCCGCTTTCTATCCCCAGAATGGCGACAGGGCAACAGGGGGATCATAGCTCACCGGGTGAAATGCTCGCCATGATGTTGGTCCCGTGCTTGGGGACCCCTGATTCAACCCAGACCTCCAGTGAGTTGCTTAATGCTCCTTTTTGTTTAGAGTGCCGACCTTTGTGCCGGGGGGGTGTTTAGCGCACCCAAATATGCAAAACATGAGTTGGATCCTCATGCCAGGCGCAAACCGCATCCGAGCCGCGTTTCATGAGAAGCGCTTTGATTCATCGCCTATCGAAGTGCTTGAGCTTTGGGGCTGGGTTCATTGGCGGTGTAGACGTAGCTCTTAAGCTTGTCGGGCACAGATAGCAGTTTGACTGTTGGAGTCACACAATTGGTGATACCTTTTGCGGCAACTCTGGCAACCCAACGGAAAATCGAATTAGCATTCTGGGGTCAAGAGTTCTTATTCCGCGATTTTTTGCCGGGGATAATGTTCCCCATGAGGCTTGCTTGCGATCTGTAACCAGGTCTTGCTGAGCTGTGTTTTGTCGGAGACGAACGGACCACTACTTTTACAGGGTCTATTTGCAGAGAAAAAAAGAAGCAGTTTCAAGTTGAAAGGCAACCGACTTCTTGCTGATGTTTACCCGTGTAGTCAACTTTTTTCTGGGTGTCACACGGCAAGCCCATGTGACGCATTCTTCCCGCTGGCCTTTGATGGCTTCAGTAATGCAACAATTGGAAGTCAGCAGAAGCATTGGAGCAGCACCCAAACCCCAAGGTGAAAGCCATGTTCAGTCTACTCTTCAGTCTACTCCGAGGATGCAAACAGCATTGAAACTTATAGAAACATGTAAATGCCCTCCAAACATGGTACTTTAATTCGGATGCATGTCTTCATGAACATCCGGTCAACTGTCCATGCAAACTCAAGATGCAGGATGCTCCCGTAAGAATTTGAATCGCGCTTCGATCATTGTGGGGCACAGACGGTGTGTAGAACCCCTTGGTTTTTGGGTGTGCATACCCCGTTTTCCAGTGAAAGAGTTAAACCCAGGTTCAGAAGCCAGTCTAAGCAAAGAGCAGCAAGCTGGACGGGTTGCAGCTGGACGTCAGCACCAGCCGTCTGTGCCGCACAGGCGTGGCATGTGTTGCAGGCGCGGCGATCGCAGCTGGCTGCCAAGGGCACACGAAGCCCACCTTCGGAAGCGAAAGCCGGTGGAACGGAACATGGCTCCAGAACGCGCGGTTTTTTTGAGAACGCTGTTGGTTCCAGAACGCTGGTTTTTGTATGATGCTGTTTGATTTGAGCCAATCCGCCAATTGATTTGCAATTTTCAGGCACTGCAACATGGGAATTGTAAGTTGCTGTAGCATCTGTACGTGGCTTCGGCGTGCTGGCGATCTGTTCTCGGATCGCTTGTTCGGGCGTGACAGAAAGGACTCCTTGAAGAAAGGGCTCTGGCCTTCAAATGGGCATGGGTCAAAATGAAGCCACCAGGGGACCGCATATGTTAGTCCATGTTTCCATTTACCGGGTTTATTTTGAGTACCTATTTTTGACTCGAAGCCAAATGTATGCTTGGCTGTCTGAAGTTGGACCTGGGACCCTTGATTTGCAGCTGTACGGTTGCGGGTTTTTTCGGCTTACCGTGAAGGAGTCTCAAAAATGCAAATTGGAGCTGGGGCCAGCTTTTTCAGCCCGTGTAGAGAGGACTGGCTAGTTTCTGAGGAAATCCGTTTGCCAAAATGCATGTTTGGGTGTCTCAGCCATTGGCAACTCATGTCTGGGCACATATGTTCTGGGCAACCAAAACAAGCTTCCAGATAAAGGTCCTTCAGAGTTGTTTTTGCAGGGTGGGACTCCTCGCCGCCGTGCAACTGTCTTCACTTTTGGCACACCCGCTCATGCGTATCACGTCATATCTGCGCGCATGCTGGCCAAATGTTAAGCACACCCGCTCACGCGCATGGTGTCATAAGTGCACACATGCTGGCAGATGATAAGCGCAGCCGCTCATGCGCATCGTGTCATAAGTGCACACATGTGGCAGATGATAAGCACAGCCGCTCACGCGCATCGGGTCATAAGTGCGCACATGCTGGCACATGATAAGCACATCCGCTCACGCGCATCGTGTCATAAGTGCACACGTGCTGGCACATGATAAGCACACCCGCTCACGCGCATCGCGTTATAAGTGCACACATGCTGGCACATGATAAGCACACCCGCTCATCATGTCAGAAGTGCACACATGCTGGCACATGATATGCACACCCGCTCAAGCGCATCCTGTTATATCTGCGCGCATGCTGGCCAAATGTTAAGCGCACCCGCTCACGCGCATCGCGTCATAAGTGCACACATGCTGGCACATGATAAGCACACCCGCTCATCATGTCAGAAGTGCACACATGCTGACACATGATAAGCACACCGGCTCAAGCGCGTCATGTTATATCTGCGCGCATGCTGGCCAAATGTTAAGCACACCCGCTCCAGCGTATCATGTTGTAAGTGCACACATGCTGGCACATTATAAGCACACCCGCTCACGCGCATCGCGTCATAAGTGCACACATGCTGGCACATGATAAGCACACCCGCTCATCATGTCAGAAGTGCACACATGCTGGCACATGGTAAGCACACCGGCTCAAGCGCGTCATGTTATATCTGCACGCATGCTGGCCAAATGTGAAGCACGCCCGCTCCAGCGTATCATGTTGTAAGTGCACACATGCTGGCACATTATAAGCACACCCGCTAACGCGCATCGTGTCATAAGTGCGCACATGCTGGCACATGATAGGCACACCCGCTCAAGCGTATCATGTCATATCTGCGCGCAAACAGGTCCGAAAACTTTTCGACGTTTGAGGAGGGGATGCTAAACGTTTGTTTCGCCTAGGCGAAATACTTCTTTTTGGGAATCTGCCCTGCGAAAACCCATATAAAATGCATTTTGCTGAATCACTGGCTGCGAGAGAGAACGTGGCAGGCGTAGGGGACGGGCGATGTCAGTTGATGTTCTTGTAATGTGGTTTCGCTTGCCTTCCACGGCGGCGAGGCGTTCCACCAGCCTTGTTTTTATTTCGGTTGATGAAAGCTTTTCAGTTTTGATTTGTTTCAGGGAATCCGATACAATGCGAGTTTGCCTCCCAAAGGCCCCGCCAGGACCTGTAAACAAGGTTTTCCGCCAAACCTGCAACAGGGTCTAGCAACGTTTCGTGCTGGGGTTGCAGCCCAGAATAAATGGTCCTAACTTTCTGGCTAGTTCTCAGTTGATGAGTTAAACTCACCCCAAGCTGAACCATCCGACTGGCGGTTTACTTTAAGGGAACTGATGCCAACAGCTCGTTCCCAAAACCCTTGAAATTCCCGGCTGGAAAACAATCCTGCCTCTGGCGATGGCTGCATATTCAGCCTGTGTCTCCTATATATATATATATAAATGTAACATACATATATATATATATGTATATATACATACATGCGCATATGTATATACATAAAATATATACATATGTATATGTACAGTACTACATGTACATATGCATATTCAATTGATTCTATCCGCTCTATTACTTCATTCCGACAGACCAGGCATGACGCAGACCTGGATGAACCAGCGCTTCCTTCGCCTGGCACCGGCGGACTTCGACGAGGGCGCTCGGGCACTCAGGCGGTGAGGTTTGACCTAGGATTCAGACCATATGGGTGGCTCGTGTTTTGTTTATGGGACCCCCTCCCAAGTTGGCGCAACGATGTTTCATGTGGTGTTCCTTTGAAACCAAGAAGTGGTACGCCCCAAAAAGACAAACCCACATTAAAGCTTCATCTTGGTGGCTCTTCGTTTAGGAGACACCTCCAGAACGGAAAGCAACAGTTGTAGTTGTGCTGTTGTTCTCCCTTCAAAAGCCACAAAGAAGGGGTGCCCTCACACGAAGAAGGACAGAGGCCTATTGGTTTGTCTTATTTAAGGCGCAGGGTGCCAACTTTTGGGCCCATGAAGCCATTGCAATTGAACCCAGAAACTCAAGGTTTATTCCTGGTTTCATAAGATGGTTGTTGTTTTGTTCGGGTACCCCTTTTGGTGAGTTTTAAAGGGAAACCAACCCCGGCACCCTGCGGCCTCCATTGATACATTGTTGAATTGCTACGAAGTCTGCTCGTGAGAACTTCTAAAATAGATCTGCGATTCAACAAGAATCGCTCGAGCCGGCAGCAATCATGCCGCTGAGGAACCCAGTCCCACAAACGTGCAAAACGAGCGCCCATCGGCGCAACAAAAGTGCAAAGGAGCACAACTTCAGAAGATGCTAGCAAAACTGGGTTCCTCAGCGGCCCTAGCATCTTTTGAAGTTGTGCTCCTTTGCGCTTTTGTTGCACTGATGTGCGCTCGTTTTGCACGTTTGTTGCGCTCATGTCGTTGAGGACTCTTCCCAAACTTACGTCAAAGAAAGAATATGAAACTGCCGAATTGACTTCTGCTCGAAGCGAGACAAAAACGCTCGAGAGCAATTGTGGATGGAAAGCAGCTACAACATGTCAATTCGTTTATGGAACAAGGAGACCCCCCAGTTGAATCGGAATCTCCACAATTTTCGGGTTCCTCCCGTTAATATTAAGGGGAGAAAAGCAATGGGGTTGAGAGACGTCACTGTTTTCGGCATGACTTTTTATGTTGTTTTGTTGGTTCTGTTCATTTTGGGTTCGATTGGTGGGATTTAAGCCCCTGGTTTTTGTGGGTAGTTGTGGAAGCCTCTTCACACCTCCAAGCCACAATCCAGTCCCTTTTTGAGCTGAGGCTTCTCCATTTATTTGCCCCATCACGCAACGAGTTCACTTCAAATGGCCCGTGATGTTTAAAACTAATAGGGGAAACATGGGGACCGCTGTCCAGGTGACCCTTTTTGCATTGGCTTGATGGGAATTTCTGGCGCTGAGGGTGAATGGGAAGCTACCTCCAAATCAATCCAAACCATTTAGGGGTAAGGTGAGAATAGGGTGTGTCTGTTTCTAGGCCAAAATTGCTAATTTTCCTTGTGGTGTCCCTTTAAACCCGCAAAACTTCAATCATGGGTACCTGTTTAAAAGCTCACCCAGCGAGGTGAGACAATTGATTTCAACACTATGTCGGCCTCATGTTCACTTAGCCCTTTTTACCTGCCAGAAGCGAAACAAGCCAAAGTGCGCCCAACCAAAACACCCAAAAAGTTGCTTGCCATACCGTGGTTTCTTGGGGGTTCCCAGCCGTTTGGTTCCTGAGGTGTTTCGTTTTTTTTGGGGGGAGGCTTCCTTTTTTGCACAAGCGAAGCTTTTCGCAGATCAGTTTGCGCAGCCCAGCACTGTCGACTTGGGTGTTCAGCGCCCACTTATCGGCTCCTTCAACCGAGTCACAATCAAATCCCGGGTAATTGGAGGGTAGTAAGGGACATTCTCAGCCATCAATGGGTGCGGCCGCCTTCAGATGGTTCTGGGACTGCGACCATGCTACTACCGGGTTTTGATTATAACAACTTTTCCCGCTCGAGGTGCATTTCGTGAGCATGGGCAACGTCAGCCCGCTGGCAGAGGTGCAAAGCCTTTGGACCGCCATGGCCAAGGCGCAACTCGCTCGCAAGCGAGCGCTTGGCCCTTGGTGGGCGGTGATGCTTCCAGTTGATCGAAACAAATCGGTTTTTAGCTGGTTTCTCTTTAGGTGTCCCTTAAAAACCAGGTGAAGGGGTACACAAAACGTCCGTTCGCTGAAACAAATATGTGTTATTTTCCCGTTTTGGTTGTAAAGGGAATCTGTCACTGCTGAAAATATGTTATTGTTTTTCCAGGGGCGTACTGGCACATTGCTGGCCCGGCTGGTTTGCGGGGACGAGCGAATGAGCTGGGGTGCAAGAAACCAGGAGGTTTTCATGCACTATGGCTAGTGGCCGGGGCTTCCGAATCCCAAAATGAAGTAAACACAAAAACACAATTGTTCGGTGGCGGTCTGCCCACAGTCCGCTGGGAGGACTAAATATCCTTGAGACAAGATTCAGCGTTGCCGTCGTGGATTGTATGGAAACTTGACTGAGTTGGATTCAG